ACATTCTTGAAGAACACCTCTTCCTTCCAGACATCGACTTTGTTTTCGATCAAAACGAACAGCTGTTGGCATTCATCTAATGTCCGGCAGTCGAAGATGTCCGACAGCAACAGCACCGGAAGGCTACCGGCGCTCAAATCACGTCTCGCCGCAGATATCGACAAATTCAACATTTTCTCGTAGTTCTCGAACTGAAGATCCTTTTCCTAAACACAAGATTGTCGTCAATTAGTGGTCACGTCTTATAGCAGGTCTTGGGATCCAATGAATGAGTGATAAATACATTATTGAATTGCATTGACTTCTGCTTGAAGCGGCAGAGGTGTCGCAAGAAGTGCAGAAGGCTCCTTATGAACAACAGTATAGACAACCCTAGCGTCTAGAGACGGTTGCGGAGGTGCAGGAGGTGTCGGCCGTCACTGAATAACTAGGTAAAGACCCACACAAACCAAACCATTCATTAACGCTATGAAAATCAATGCAAACATTGAATACAAACCAAAACATTGTGACAAATATCAGTCAAATCCGAGTTCTTTGCCATCGCTTTAGTCCACTAATCGATGACTAATTGATCCAAAAGTGGTTTTGTGTCACAAATTAAATGTTAAATCAATTGACAATTAAATGAGAAAATGTTTGCAAAAATCCAAAACACATTGAATTTACAAATATTTTTGATTTAAATCTCAATGAAATGGAAATTATGTGACTTTTCGTACAATAAAAACGTTTTGAAATTTTATTTTATTTAACGTTAAATCATATGTAAAGGGGTTTTGTTTTGTGAGTTTTAGTATAACGTCAATATTGTATGACATAATTTGCCACCAATTTGTTCATACATTACGACGAGATATACTGCACTAAATTGTAATCAAATTTAATTACAATTAGACATAAATTTCTCGTTTAAAACTTGACAAACAAATGAGTGACTCATTGAGGCATACATTGCTCGCACAACTGTGTGGCTCGAGTGTGTGAATGTGTGGACGTATTGGTTGTGTGAGTGAGTGGTGAGTGAGTGGTTGATGAAGTATTGTGTGGTTGTTGTGAGCAATAATTGGTGCAAAAGTGAGTGTATTATCGACTGCTATGTAATGTATGAATCAAATGGCCGTCACTTGTGTCTCATGAACTCACTCTCAATCGTCGCTCACTTTCATTCACTCCATTCACCACTGATTGCCACCACAAGAGTCCATCCAAACAGTGATCGTGTGGACAGTGATGTAGACCGAATATGATCACTGTTTATCATATGTGACCACAAGTGGTGATCGGAGCTCCTAGTGTTGGCATATACAGTGTGTGGATCAGTTGTGGTGACAAATTATGGGCAACTGTTGTATTCGCGACAAAAGCCGAGCCAATGGTCAGCCAAACAACGGACTGTCTTCGGGGGCGGATGTGTTGCGACCGATTGGAGGGCCAGTGCTGTCGCACCCGATGATGGACGCCGTGATCACTGCCCCTCCGGTGCCGTTGGACGCCCTGCGACCCAATTGCGTGCAAATGAGTGCCATGAATGGCGTGTCTGGGATGCAGCCATCGGTGGTGAGTCTGGCCAACAGTGATCTGATGGGCGGCGATGCGGGTGGCGGCCAACCAAACCTCGGCAGTACAGCCAATGGCAAAGTGTTTGTCGCTCTCTATGACTACGACGCCCGAACCGATGAGGACCTCAGCTTCAAGAAGGGCGAGCACCTGGAGATCATAAACGACACTCAGGGCGACTGGTGGTTCGCCAGATCCAAACAGACCAAACTCGAGGGCTATATCCCCTCCAACTATGTCGCCAAACTCAAGTCCATCGAAGCCGAGCCGTAAGTGTCCGCCACTTCCCTACCATTCAGTCACTCAATTGATCCACAGAATCACCACTTCTTGTGATTGATTACTGCTGTTGAGGATCAAGTCGTGTGTCATTTGATTAGCATTTCTATAATTGAATGCGTTTTTTGTTGTTTTTGTTGTGAAATTTAATGAATTTATGCTGTTTTTGTTGAAATAGTTTTCCAACTTTTATGCCATTTTTATGAATATGTAATTTTTTGATTTATTTTTTGTCAGTCATTAGACTTTCAATAATATTTTTCAAATTCATATAAAATGCTATTTTCTGAGTGCCTTTAGTTTCAATGCCTTTTACAGCCGCAAGCCTTTGAATATTTGTATTAAAGACAAAAAATATCGTTTAAAAGTATTATCAGTTATTCAATCGATTAGTTTGTTGCAATATTTTCTCTGATATCGGTATTATAGTTGAGTTCAAAAATAATTATTTGTAAATTAAATAACATTTTGTTTAATAGACTTTAAACTATAGCAGCAGTCGATTGAATCGATAACTTTAAGCCTTTTCATGAAAATCTCTGATATCGGTATTATAGTTGAGTTCAAAAATAATTATTTGTAAATTAAATAACATTTTGTTTAATAGACTTTAAACTATAGCAGCAGTCGATTGAATCGATAACTTTAAGCCTTTTCATGAAATCACTAAAATAACAATATAACTGAATAACTGATACATGGCTTGGAGTAAAAGATTGTTAATTATTTTGTTATTTAAAAAGTAAGAAAATTAATTTTTAGCCTTAATTTACATTTTAAACACAACTAAAACACTCCCTGTATTCAGTCATTCACTCAATGGTATTAATAAGTTACATGTTTTTAACTTAAAATAAAATAAAACTTTTAACTCCCCTCTAAAAGTATATAATTTTCTAAATTCTGAATAGTTATTAAAATAATGTTTTAAGTAATGATTTTCTTATTTTTGTCGTTCAGCTAACAATAAATAGTTGACTGAAAATAGCATTCAATTTGGTTTCTCTCTCTTTTTGCTGTTAATCTCGACTTTAATTAAGATCTCAAACGATAAGACATTGTTTGCGACGACTTATGAATTGATTACATATTACATAGCAAGTGCTTTGTCTGGAAAGTCATAATTAGTTGTTTGTATACAACGGTCACCAAAAATATGTAATAAACAGTAATTATTATATTTTTATTCCGCTTTTGGTTTCTATTTACATCCATTCACGGGATTCACATCCACTTTAATATTACTATTATTTGGTTTAATTGAATACTAAAAATAGTTTGTCTTGAGATGGAAAGCTGTGCCCGAGTTTAGTGGCAATCATTTGCGACGACCTCTTAAACTGAATTATTTTCTCACTAATTACATAATTACCTCACTTTATACACATTTCATACACCAAGTCATTTGAATAATTCATTTTTACCCTTTATATTATCCGTTTATATAATTTATTGCATTATTTTATTAACTATTTATTTAATCATTTAATTCAATCAATTGTCACACTTTTTTTTAAAGCCATTTATCTCAAACTACTATAAATTTTTGACATATTATTCAGCAATAAATTGCTTAACAATTGTTAGTTAACTATAATAAGAAAATTATTATTAATTCAATGCCAGAGATAAGACACTTTCCAGTCTTTAAGTTAATAATTATTTGAAGCAATTGTGTGTTGAAAATAAACTCATTTGGCTTTCGGTTGTAATACTTTTATTCTTATTTAATTAATCTCTTAAATACACTCACGGATAGAGTTTTTACATTTTCTCACAAATAACATGTTTTTGCACTTTTCATAAAAAAATTTCCGTTGCTTTTAGTCGAAAATATTTTGTATTAATTTTTATATACAAATGGTTGCCATTTATTTGATGTTTAATTCAATTTAATTCAATTTATTTGCTTTCTATTCATTAATTCCTGAGAATCGGTGAACACAATGATTGTCGCATTGAATACATTGTCAACAGATTTTTATTTTTTATATTTTTTTTGCATATAATTAATATCGAAAGAGCTTTTGCAGCGAATTGTAATTGAATGCAATTATAATTCGCTTTTCAATTATGTTTTTGGCTATGATTTGATTGATTTTTAAGGAAATTTAATCATAAAAAGAAGAATAAAATTATCGGTCGATACGGCTGTCAATAATTTTTAGGTCTTAATTATAAAAATCTGTTACAACTTTTCAATGCAAGAAATTATTTTTAATAAAAAGGCTTTTTTATAATTTATATTGCTTTGTGTTTTTGAATATAAAAACTTCGGACATTTGTTATTGATTTCACTATTTTGCTGTTTAGCGCGAATTTTATGCAATTTTCTATTTAATGCAATCTTTTTTGTTTTGTTTGTTATTTACTACTTTGCTGACTGACCCTATATTTCGCAAAATGAGATTAATATTTCATGCTTTCTATTATAATAAGACATTATCTTTAAATAAATCGTTGAAAGTATTTTTGTTTTTTTGTAAATCAATTTCGAGATATCTATTTATTAATTAAACACATTTCTCTGTGTTTATAACCCAATTGTATCATTAATCTGAAGATTATATTTTAGTTTATGTCAATTATTTATTTATAATATTAATATTTTTTGATACGATAAATATTTTATTAGTTTGAAAATTTTTAGTTCTCACTGTACTTATTGTGAAAATGAAATTACTGTACAAAAGAGATAATTGTACTAAATTTTATAACTCTTAGATAATGTCTAAATTATTTTTTTGCGATATTTATTAGTCTTTTTGAACATTCTTTTAGTTTTTGTTGCAAATAGTGTTCATTTAAATGAAATTAAATGATTTATATCTAAACGACTTGTTTTAATATACATTAGTTTATTAACTCTTAAAACAATTACTGTGAAGAGAGTACAGAGTCTGCAGACAAAAGTCAAGATAAGTCAAGAAAAACTCAAAACACTGGGAATTCTTAACATATTTAGTGAAATATTTGAGAAATAATTACTTAAAAACGAGTTATCATATTATGATATGAGTTACGGATTTGAGATATGAATGTTTGTAATGTTGTCTTTGTTTGAAAATATGGCAAAATTGGAAACGGCTTATCAAACTCACCAATTCGTGATTTTGTAATTTGTTTCTCAAATAACAGTCACATTATATAATGAATTCATTTCTCTCTTCTCGTACACGAAGTGTTGATTTAATAAAAATTTCAAATTCTCTTCACTTGGCTCTCGGCTAACATTAAACTTAAAATAAACTTAAATTGAATTAAATCTTATATAATTATCTTTATCTATAGTATAAAATATATTAATAGATTAACTCTTTATATTGCATACAATATCCTCAACGCATTTTGAATTGTATTTTATTTTATTTATTGAATTGAATTGATTTTGCGATCCATGAAATCATTTATTTAAACGATTATCTACCTTTAAAATCAATAACATGATAATTATATTTTTGTATTTTAATTAAAATTCACTAATAACTGCAGGAAATATACCGAAAAGTGTGAAAAGTTTTTAGTGTTATATTTGGGGTCAAAGTTCAGGGCTATTGTACGGAATGATATGCAAATGAACTGAAAGGCCAACATTGGCTGCGATCTAAAAATGATTACATAATTCAGTTAAACTTCGAGAGAATGGCTTGTATTGTGAATGTGTGTATATTTCCTGTAATACTAAATGCTTTTATTTGTAATTCAGTGAGAATTTTGTGTTCACTTGTTCTCAATGTTATGTCAACTCTGCTTTGAATTGAGAGTTTTAGTCATAGATTATGTCAGAAAATATCAATTTTCATACACAGTATATTCATTGCTAAACAGTACTCCCGGGGTCTGTTTTGCGCCTAAAAACAAGTAATCTTACGGTCCGTTGCATACAATTAATGCCTGTCTCTGAGTTATACCCCACTTGTGATGTCCTCACAAGAAAATATCTAAACGTTTGTTCTCTAATCTCATCGTTTGTCTCAATAGGTATTAGTTGTTCACCAGTTTGTAGTCTTTCTCATGTCTCTCACAAATGTTACCATTTTTTAATAGTTTAGTTATTTTATTACATGTTTATTAAGTGAGTTTACACTAAACCACGAATAATGTTCAGTTTGAAGGGATACTCGTATTGAGAATATTATGACACTTATTTATTTGTTTATTTCATTTTATTTATTACTTGTGAAATAACAGTTGTTTTTCAATGATGTTGTTTTGAGTTCAATGTATTTGCAATAGTGAATACAATTAATAGTGTAGTGTTTGTTTGGCTGCGAGTGTCTGTGTTTGTGTCCAATGCATGACATCAGTAGTAATAGTCATTCTCATCACAATTCGCATCATTTCTGTAATACTAATACAACTAATAATTCAAACAATAGTTGGATCCGAACTTTAGACTGTATTTTGAAGCGAAACTCATCGCAAGCTTTATCCTCAAGTGCCTCATCATTACGACCAGAAAATTATCTGTAATTCTCTTCTCATTCATTCAATATTTCTTTTTTCCGTTTATTTTATTTATTTTAATTTCTCTCTGTTTTTCGGTTACTATTCTTATGATCCATTTGATGTCATATTTTTCTTCGTCAAACATATCATTTCCATTATTTTCTCAATTTTATTAATTGCTTTTCTGGACATTTATTTCATTTATTATTTCCAGTGAATTCATTTTCAATCCATTGCTAGAGTCTGGTATGAATTACACATTAAATCTATTATTCATTTTTGCACTCATAATTATTATGATAATTATGTTTTGTTTTGTTTTTCTCATTGCTTTTTGTATTTGTTTTTTGATTTGCTGTTTGTTTCCTAGAATTCCAATGCAATGAAAAAAATGTAATAATTTTCTGCAAAATGTATTTTCCAATAAATCCATTCCCCGAAAGGCTATATTTTGCAGACATAGAGATTTGTTGCAAAAAAATGAATAAAACTTAAGCTATTGTTAAAGAAATGGTTTTTTTGTAGATAATATATATCTGTATTTGCCGTTTGAATCACTCAAACACATCCATAAAACCGCACGAATCATACGCTTATGATTTGAATGTGTTTTGTTTGAATAGTTTTGTGACAATTAATAATAACTGATGACTTGTGTTGGAAAGGGATGTAATGGTGGTGTTGTGTGTATTTCAGGTGGTATTTCGGCAAAATCAAGAGAGTAGAGGCCGAGAAGAAGTTACTATTGGTGGAGAATGAACATGGTGCTTTCCTCATCAGGGACAGCGAGTCCCGACGCAACGACTTCTCGCTGTCGGTGCGCGACGGCGACACTGTTAAGCACTACCGCATCCGACAGCTGGACGAGGGAGGCTTCTTCATCGCCCGGCGCACGCCTTTCCGGACACTACAGGAGCTCGTCGACCACTACAGCAAAGATGCCGACGGACTGTGCGTTAATTTGCGTAAAGCCTGCGTTCAGGTGGAGAAGCCCACGACCAGTGGTCTGTCGCACAACACGCGAGACCAGTGGGAGATCGACAGGTCGTCCCTCAAGTTTGTGCGTAAGTTAGGTCAGGGCCAGTTCGGTGAGGTATGGGAGGGTATGTGGAACAACACCACTCCCGTGGCGATCAAAACGTTAAAACCAGGTATTTATTGATTGATTGAATGCTTGTATGTATTGATGTACTGATGGCATTGATCTCAATGATAGGAACTATGGATCCCAAAGACTTCTTAGCCGAGGCTCAGATCATGAAGAAGTTAAGGCACCCAAAGCTGGTCCAACTCTACGCTGTTTGCACTCTCGAAGAACCCATTTATATAATCACAGAACTCATGAAATACGGCAGTCTTTTAGAGTATCTACAGGGGAAGGGAAGGGGTCTCAAATTGCCACAACTCATAGACATGTCGGCGCAAATCGCGGCCGGAATGGCGTACTTAGAGTCACAAAACTATATACACAGAGATCTCGCGGCCAGGAATATATTGGTTGGAGAGAACAATATCGTGAAGATCGCGGACTTCGGTTTGGCTCGACTTATCAAAGAGGATGAATACGAGGCCAGAGTTGGCGCCCGATTTCCGATCAAATGGACGGCACCAGAAGCGGCCAATTATAGCAAATTCAGTATCAAGTCTGACGTCTGGAGTTTCGGCATCTTATTGACAGAATTGGTTACTTATGGACGCATTCCATACCCGGGAATGACTAACGCAGAAGTGTTACATCAAGTGGAACACGGCTACCGAATGCCCTGTCCTCCCGGTATGTCATTAGCACCACTAGTCTTATATAACTATGTCATCAGAGGGGTTGCGCTCAAATGCTTTTAACACATAATTTACAGTTACCTCTAAATGAGTATTATTTGCAAAACGCAACGATTCTTCTAATTTCTTCACTAAAAGTGATTGTATTTCTGTATTTGTGTTCAATAGGATGTCCTCAGGCTTTGTATGAGATAATGCTTGAGAGTTGGCATAAGGATCCGTTCAAAAGGCCGACCTTTGAGACGCTTCAGTGGAAACTGGAGGACTTCTTCACACTCGAGGGCTCCGAGTATAAGGAAGCGTCGATCGCTTATTAGCTCTCATTAGCTCTCATTCAGCCATTCGTCTCTTCAATCACTCGAATCGTCTCAACGAATACTTCTCTTTCATTACGACTATTATTATATTTGTTATCATTTTTTTAATTAATGGATTCCATAGAGAACTGCAACTCTTGTATTATTTACACATTTATGTCATAATGTAATCACAAATATGCAGAACAACACCAACTGAAAGCAACTCTTTATTTGTGCTCTTTTTGTCTGTCGATTGAATTTCATTAGATTTTCGATAATTAACTACAATATTATAATATTTAATACACTTTAAGTGCCATAACATTCAACGGTTTTGCCGATTAATACCAAAACATTTCATAAATCGCTGCTATGTTTCGCTATTTTTACCATTTTTTATACAATACATTTTTAGACCCAATATTTGATTCATTTTGCACTTAAGATCACAACTAATGACTTATTGTTTGAGATTCAATTTCATTGGATTTCAATGAATTGGTTTTTATAAGCAGAAAGAGATTTGTTTAATGAAACTCAACGACGACTTTCGCAGCAATTATATTAATTTGCAATCTATTTACAAATAATTTTTAATATAAATTACTTTTAATTATGAAATTATGATAACTTTTTTGACAAAAATATAATTTGTGATATAAATCTTTATTTCGAATATAATTATATTTTTAAATTACATCAAAAATGATTAATTTATTTGAAACATTGTAATAATATTTAGTTGAATAATAATTTCAAATTTTTTGAATTCATTTAATATTTATTAAAATAAATTATAATATTTTTTCTATTTATCATATCAAACATTATACCGGTATTAAAATTATATGATAATAATTTATTGTTTTTCAAAAATAATGTTTGATGAACTTTTTTGGCACTTTTCAGAAAGGGTTTAGCGCTAAGTCTGCAAAATGAATACAATTATTGGCTTTTAATTATTAAAATAAGTTTTCAAAATGCGATAAATTATCGAAATGTTTGAACGGAAATGATTTTATACAAAAAACACATAAAAATATCTTAATTATTGAATTGATAGGAGTTGTAATCGATGGTCGAAATCGACAAAATCTGTGCTATAATTGAATATTTCGAGTGAGAAATAGTTTTGAAATTAATGAAAAATTTGTTTCAATCACTGCCTAAACGAAACACTATTGGTTCGCTCGGAATGTAATGTCAAAACACTTCATTTGCTATTATTATACTGTATATGATATAAGAAATAATTATTTGTATTATTTTCTGTGATTTCATTAGAAGAACAACAAAAATAAATTGATTTCCAAAAGAATTTCTAATCATTTATCGCTAATTGACTAAAATATGGTCCAAATTACGGGATTCAATGTTTATGGACCTAATTATGTAAGACTTTTTTGGATCAAGTCTTGGGCGTTGTCTTTCACTCCAACCAAACTCGAGCACCAAATGAAAAGATAAGTAAACCATAGATTCGGTGATCAATTTGAAGGCAAACAAAACCACAGAATTAATGGTTTAATTCATGTGACAAATAAAGACAAATATATGATTCAATTTCATTATAATCGCAATACAAAAACTTTCAAACTTTAAATCATTTCTTATCACGAGTTTAAAAAAGTTTAAAAAATAGTTTTCCGAAAAAACTCTCCAAAACTAACGATAAGTTTAGAGAAATTAATGACTGAATGAATAGTGTTGTGAGTCTAACGTGAAATACTGTGCCATATATTGGAGTGAATGGCAGTGAATGGCATTGAAGTGTTGTATGCATTGAATGCGTGAATCACTGAATCATTGCATTCAATGTGTTGTGTCTCTGAGTCTCT